CTGCTCCTGGGAGAGGGAAGGAGCTGGGAATGGTTTTGCGGGCGAAGCCTTCTCTGAGCCATATTCTGCCCCCTTCCGGCTTAGTGAGAGACCAAAATGGCTGTTTTTTTAAAGGAAATCTTGGCACCTTCTCAAAGGGACGCATTCAGTCACCTGACCCAGATGGAAGCGACCCCGGCTTACAGCTTTAAGAGCTCACTGAAAGGTAAGAGGACAGCATGGTGGGGACACAGGGGTACCTCCGAGGGTTTGAACTTACTGCTACTGAAGGCAACGGCCTTTGATGGCAGTGGGGGCAGGAGTGGCCTTGCAAGCTGAGCAGTTAAATTCAGCAGCAGCTGAGCAAATACTTAAAAAAAAGCCTCTAAAAGGCCTGTAAAGTGCTGTGCCAAGCTCAGCCCTCTGCAAATACCTGTGCCCAAGGGTCTCAAGCCAGGCGCCCACAACTAGCAAATCATTTTGACTAGAATCGGTTTGTGCCTCAGTTCTCCATCTGTAAAATGGGAACAAGCCCACCCCACCGACCACAGGAAATAAAGGCACTTTCACAGTGCTCATTCCACTTGTCGGCTTGCTCTCCACAGACACTCCACTGCAGCGGTTCTCAAGCGCTGGCAACCCGAGAGCCCCCATTTGGAGTTTAAAATTTTCACAGATCCCCAAGCCAGCTTCCAATTTTCTCCAGGGGAGCTCAAGCTCTGCTCAGCCACAGGCCACGCCCCCTTCACCCATTCCTCCAAAGCCCCACCCCCAACCTGCTTCATCCTGCTGCCACTCCACCCTTGCCCCTGCTCTTCCCGCCCCCTCCCTTCCAGCTGCACAGCTGTTTCCTGGTGTGTGAGGGGGCTGGGAGGGAGGGGGAGGAGTTGATCAGTGGTGCAGGTGGCCCCAGATGTGACTCGTGCACCCCCTGGAAGGCCCTCATGGACACCAGTTTGAGAACTGCTGCTCTGCTGCTCAGTTTACTAGTGTGAACGTGAGGCTACGTTGACACTTAAAACGCTGCTGGAGTGAGGCTGGCGCACTGCAGCATAGACTCTCACTTTAGCGCCGGGAGGGTTTCCCTGCTGCTGTGGTTAATCCACCTTCCCGAGAGGCAGTGGCTAGGTTGGGAGTTGTTCCATCAACGTGGCCCTGTCTCTGCAGGGGAGCGGGTTAAGTCTGGGGTGGACCTGCCCTTAAATGCGACTGCTCACCAAAAACAAATTTCCAAGCAGAAAGCCAACCCAGAGCAGTGAGAATTGTTCCCTGGAAATTTTTCTCGTGCCTATGCCGTTTGAAAGTTGTGCCTTGCGGGCTAGATCATTCAGTCCGGGACCTAGATCACCGGGACGTTTGAATACGGGCCAAAAGCACGTTATTTGCAGCCCTACATTTATTCCCTGACAAACGTGATTCATTTCCAACACACCGGAAAATACTGGAATCTGTTCACGGACAATTAAACAGCTCGAGGGGCAAGTGATCACGTAAGCTGCTTGCAAATCATTTGCCCACCTGTACATTCTGCCCCCTGAAGTGCTGCTGAGGTCTCTGAGTGGAGAGCACTGGGCCCAGGAATTGAAATATTCGCTCATTCTACTGCGTCTGGCCAGGTCGGATCACAAGAGGCGTAACTTCCAGCCAGCAGCAGGCAGATGCTTCTCAGCGTAGATCCAGCCGGCTCCAGTGAGAGCCCCGTCGTACTGACACAGCAGAAGTCAGGCTCTTTCGCAGTAGGCAGGGTTGCTGTCTGCTTGGCTCTGTGCATTGTTCCCGGGGAGTCAAACATCAGCTCCCGGCCTCTGTTCATTGCACGCTGCCAGGAGAGGGGCGCTCGCTCTGCCCAGGGCTCTGCCCCGCTGGCCCTCGGTGACATTGGAAGCTTGGACAAGGCCGGACTCTCCAGGCAGAGCTGGCGAGTCGCTTTCTTGGCGGCCGTTGCCATCAAAGGCCTCGGACAGCCCCTCCGCGGGTACGTGCCGCTACCGAGAGAGCAGCAGCAGCTCTGCACGGGCTTGGAGTCAGCTGTCGATCGGTCTATTGTAGGGATGTAATAGTGCAGTCGATTCACCAGTAAGCAAAAGCGTAGCGGTTAATGCTATAGACTACATGCTTCGCCCTCCCCCTGCGCTTGCCAGTACGTTTTTTAGCATTCCAGCCGGCAGCCCAGCTCAGTTCCGGCTTGTGCTGGGTCCGGGAGCTCAGACCACCCCCTAAAAAGGGGCTGCTGCCCCACAAGGGGAGCTGGGTTTTAAATTGGCTCCCCTCGCAGAGGCAGCAGCGCGGAGTGGCAGGGGGCACTTTGGGAGTGGGGCTGGAGCGCACTGGCTGCCGGAACTGCCCCCGGGACTATCGAATAGTCGAGTCACCGGTAAGAATTCACGAGGTTACTCGGCTATTTATTAACCGACATTTAACATGCCTCGTCTATTGCCTGTTGGCTCCAGCTTTTCTAGGAATGGCCGGGGCAGGATCTGTTGTATTTGGGGCATCCCCTGAAGAGAGGGGATGTTTCAAACAGAGTCCCAGTGCTCCGCAGGGGAAAGCAGGGCGGGGGAGGGACGTGCTGTGGGAATGTAAACATGCACACACGGCGCGACGCGATCCAGGCGCTGCTCGGACATCTCTGCGCCATCCCCGTCTCGCGTCCTTCGCCTGCCTCTCTGGCGTCGCCTTGTGGGTGTCCAGCTGGCAGCAGGAGCTCAGAGCGGCGACAACGGGCATCCCGCCCGCCCCGAGCCGGCCTCCTGGGGGTAACGCCCCGTTTCAACTCGTCAGCAAGCTCGCCCGCCACCTGGGTGTCATCCTCAGCTCGGGTTTCTCTTCAGGGCCTCACAGCCAGGCTGCTAAGTTCGGGAGGCCCTTTTGATGGAACACTTAAGAGCTGGCCGGCACACAGCTCCCGGGCGCTCCGGACGGCTCTCTGGCCTCGACACACGCCACCCTGCCTTGCTCAGACCCACTTACAAAGCCGCCCCAGTGGTCATTTCCAAGCCCATCACTTGGAGTGTCTCATCCCTCTCTCTGCGCCCCTCAGCGAGCTCCCCTTTTGCTGTTGCATCGGCCCTAGCTGCACCTCCCGTCTCTTGTTTGTTGCCAGAAAGTCGACTCCTGCCTCTGACCATCGTGACGCCTGCCCCCACTGCCCACAGGTATTCAGTCGAGCCCCATTCTGCTTTCTCCCCTGCTCCCTGCCTACTTGGGAGGTGGCTGGGCACAGCCCTTAGCTGCTCCGTGCCTCAGTTTCCCATCTCTCAACTTCTCCATTTGTGTGTGGTGAAGACGAGTTCCTCAAGGGCTCGGAGGCTCTCAGGGGCCCAGGAGCAGGGCCATATAGTTATGCAGAGGGGAGCGTGGTGGTGAAGTCCTGTCAATGCCCGAGATGCAGTCTGAACCTCAGCCCTGCTCCAGGAGTTTTGCCTGGCTTTGGAAGCTCATAGCCACTCTAAAGCCAACACAGCAGTCCCGTGAGAACTCCTCCTGCGGGGGGCGCAGTGGTGCTGTGTCCAAGGGCCCTATGAGGAGCCTCGGGGGCTGAGTGACAGTCTGCAGCCTCTCGCGTCCCTCGGAAAGGATGGCTGAGACGGGAGGAACGTTCAGTCAGGAGACGGCTAATAGCGCCAGACGTGACCCTGCTGCTGCTCGGGACCTGTCTGCTCCCTTCCCTGCCCCGTTCCACACAGGATTTCGAGCGGCTCCCCCCGGGAGCCCTTTCTGTGTGTGGTGCACATGGCCACGGTGCACGGGTGTCATAGGTGCACGCGCACCGCAGGCAGCCGTGTAGCCCACCCCCAGCAAGCCACGCGCACCGCACAGGGGTTGGACGGCGTCCCACCCAGAAAGAGAGTCCTAGCCCTTGTACCGTCTAAATCCTCTCCCCAAAGCCCAGCTCGCTTGGCTGCCTGCTCGGGGTGCCGGAGGGGGAATCCTTCCTCCCAGGAGGCCGTGCGGCAGTAGCCCGCTGGCGAGCGTGCGGGGCGCGGAGACTAGCTGGGCAGCTTTGGCTGTAGCAGGCCATGCGGCTCCTGTGTCAGGCCCGGGGGGTGGCTCAATAAGGCAGCCATCGCACCACTCTGCTGCCAGCCCTTCCCCAGCGTGGGGGGAGACATT